CAGCATGCATCGTTGGGAGGACTGCCTGAAAACCACTCCAAACGCTCACGACCGTCTCAGCAACCGACACCTGCAACATCACTACAACAAGGAACATCTAGACGCACATCATCATCTGGGGCTCCATTGAGTGACGCAAGATCATCGTTGGACTCAACCACATCATCACCTACGAGTGTCAAATAATTTTTATTGGATATTTTTCTAATTATTAAAATAATATTAAAATGCGGCTCGAGTTAATAAACCTGTTGAGTGTTTTTTCTCTCTGAGTTCCATGGTCCAACCCATACCTTTCCCATGATGCTGGAATTGCCCCGAAACTCATAATGTTTTGAATCATTTGTTTAAATAACTTTCTTATGAAATCTTTAAAAAATTTGAAACTTATATGTGTTCTCAAGAAAGATTTGATTTATTACCCACTAGTTTTTCCTCAATAGTTCATTATTTTTTTGGGTGCCATGGAAATTTTCCTAATTGAGAGTAGGTAACCTCGGAGGTTAAAGCTAGAGGGCTTACAAAAACATCCAAATTTTATTATTTTTCTTCTTGAGACTGAGATCTGAAAAAAATGTGCAAGAATTCTTAATGATGCAGCATACTCAGCTATTTCTCCTATGAATTTTCCAGAAATCAGGACAATCATCAATTTCAAAATAAGTTAAATTTAGCTTCTGTTAACTAATAATATTACCCAACAATTTTCAATTACCAAATTAATCTTCAATCGAATATTCAAATTCCGAAATACTCTATCAACCAATAATCATGTCAGAAGTTTGACCATTACATGTCTAATTGAAAAATCCTTTCATGAACTTTAGAATTAGTTACTCAATAGTTGATAGAAAATTTAAATTATGAGTTATTTTAATATTTTTATATTTCAAGTAAAATAATAAAATCATAGTAACAGAAAGGTACAAATTCGAATAATATTACAAAATATTACAAATGTAATGATTGTCGACTGATTGCTGGAATTTTCCTTCTTTTTTCACTATTTTGACTTTTTACATTGTGACGAGGTACTTTTTTATTATTATTTTAATTATTTTTCCCACACACTCAGCTTCCTAAAATATAAATTCCCGCCACCGTTGGTCACCCGATTTCCCTAATTATTTCCCCTCACCCCCCTCTGCCCTTTCCACTGGAAGCAGAGACGAGATCGCCCGAAAGAAGTCAGCCTCACCGGCTCACGAATTCGTTAAACAAGGACCCGTGCTCCCCTGGAAAAATACCCACAAGACGCCCCTTGACAACATTTATCCTCAGCAGCCGACTCAGATACGCTCCTGTCTGATACCCTATCGGCCCCGCGCAGTCAAGATCTAAGTCAAGTGACGAAGTTACAACGAACGAATATGAAGGAATACGAAGGAGCGCAAAAAGAAAAGGAAAAGAACAAAGGAGAGTTACTCGTTGTTCAGCTGCCCCATGAGTTACCACGTGCCCTGTGAGCTATTCAAAAACAGACACATTACCCGTGCAAAAGAGGGAAGAAGTCGTGTGGCTGATCATCCCCATCATATCGCAGCCGAATCCTGGACTTGTTGAGGTAGATTGAAGGCTTGGGAGTCGTATACTACCCGGAAAAATCGACGAGGGAAATCGACAAGGATCCAAGGACGCCCCCGATTTGTGCCCACGCGGCCATAAATACGAGTTACATCGCCCATTTTCCCATCATTTCATTCTCCCCCTCCCCCCAATTCATTACCCCCCAACGGTGAGCCGTGAGAGTTATTCTATTGATATTAATATTTTTTATTGGATTTCCCTCGACACGACTAGATTCTCCCCTTGTTAATAAAATTAGAATCATCCCTATTAGCGTGTATAAATGTAGCCTGGCCTTACCCATCCCCTAGATCTCATATAAAAGGCATTGCATAAAATCTTTGAGAGATCTTTATTCTTTTTTGAATTGAAAATATAATTCGTATTTAAAATCAAACCCTCAATTGTCTCAATTATTTGATTGCCTTTAGTCTTCCTTTTAGGTGATTAAACTAATTAAATAGTTGAAGGTTACAACATTAAACACCTTAAAGCAGCTCTACCCTTCGGCCGGGCTACGCTGTACGGATATTTTCAGTTTTTTAATTTTTCAACTAAATTGCATGGACAAAATTTCAAAAAATTTATACCCTGTCAGTATTATCTAAATTAAATTTCGCAAAGTATTGATATTTTTTCAAACATTTCCCTCTTATAAATAAATAATAAAACTTGTTTGCAAAACGGTGGATTATTTTTTATTAGTTGTCAAAAAAATTCTTGATTTTTTCACATCTAATGAAAAAAAATTCAGATTTTAATCTTTGATTACAATGTAAATGTTGATTTTCACATAAGACATTCGGTTAAATCCTGATTTTTAAACATTTCTTCTTTGAAACACCAAAACGATAATTAAATTGAGAAAAAAATTAGAATTCCGAATCTAATCGAGTTTTCTGCAATTTTTTTGTAGTTTTCAATAATCTTTGACTTTATCGTAAGGGTAGAGCTACTTGAAATGAAAGCTTTCATATTGAAAAGAATCCCAGAGAAAGGACAAATTATCAAAAAGAAATTGTTTCCTCGAATCCAAACCGACATCCCCACCACAAGAATTATTTTTCCTCTGAATTACCTCGACAAATCATCAACATGAAGTAGGGGAATCTTATTAGTCCCAGCACCGAAAATAGGTAAAAAAGGGGAGTTGTGCCAGGCGAGCTTGAAGAGAAAGTGGAGTGACCCCTCTTCATTCCCATAAGTGACTCCACAGCAAAGGACCAGTGTCTTCAATTTCTTCTCCGATTTCTTTTGTAACATCGAGTGCTCTTTCATGAGCATCACTCGAGTCTCACAGTCCTTGTGACTCGCAAAATTGGGATGAGGGACTCTTTTTCTGTAATCGAGTTCGTTGAGAGGTGCATTCAAGTTCTGGGGATCCAATTGCCTCGTGTGAGACCACGTCATTATTGACGAGATCAACAAGAAGTGGAGGGGTTCCGTATTATCTGAAAGATATTCTGAAGACTCCAAAGCGTTAGCTAGAGCTGGAGAACACGAGAGAACATGCGCACGAATTAGTGGATAATTAACCAGCTCTAAATTAAATATTGATGAATGGATTTGGTGGAATGACGAAGGCTGCTCCAAGCTGGGAGTGATAATGGGTAATTAGAGCCACCGGGGGAGGAGTAATTACATTAAGTCTTGGAACAACCGCTAAATGGATTTTCTCTTTTATGGATTCAATTTTTTTTAGACTTTTTAACTGAGCCTTTTGGTGGCTTTTTACCCTCGAGAGCCCACTCTGCCTCGTGAATCTGTCCGTCATCCAAGGTAATGTCGTAAATCACGAGGTCGCAGGACAATAACTTCTTTAGAAAATCTTCCGTGTTGTGGGGATCTAGGACCCTTGTGTCTGGGTAATTCAAGACATTCTGGGAACATTTTGAAGAAAGAAAATTCAGGTTTATTAGCTACCGCTAGTGTGTAAAAGGCTGAAGGTGCATTGTAAAATTGACTCATGTGGAGAATGTGTTGATTTTTTTTTGTATCTTTGAAAGTGTAGCAATTGCATTCAATAGAAGAATGAAATTTTATGTCAAGTATTCAATCATTTCTAGTAATTGGAAATACCGAATCATGTTTTTTTCTGATACAAGATAATTTTTTGGAATTCAGGAAACAATTTACTACGAAGCAATCTTGCCAAATTTGATGGAACCTTGGAATACATTTGCCATTCGAAAAAAGAATTCATCCAGACGCGTGACAAAATGTCATAAAAATTCCCTTGTATATATTTTTTCCGATTGTATATACAGTAGAGGCTTCGTATAAGATACCTTAGGGACAGTAGGAGAGTGGAATTCCGGGAACCCCTGTGCCCCTACTACACGCTCCCATAGAGAGGAGCAAAATAGGGATCAGCGGGTTTCAAATAAGATACCTCGCTCGTTGCGCCTGAATTCAATGAAATTGTGATTTTTACTGAATGAATATCGATAACTAATCAATTTATATGTATTTAATGTTTTGAATTTGTATCGCTCACGTTTCCTTTTCTCCACGGAAAAAAAAATCCTCGAATCAGGTATATTATATTCCGGAATACGGAATATGTGTATTCCGGAATTCGGGATATTATATCCCAGAATCCGGAATAATATTCCGGAAAACCCAGGAACAATTCCAATGCTGGCATCAGAAAATTTCTGAGTCCGTCTACTTTCTGGTGAATTCCGGAAAAATTTGTTGATAGTTCCATTGTTAAATCGTGGGAATATTTGAAATTATATCATGCTGGATAGGTCTGATTCTCAACTAGCAACGTCGTACAGCATTTGATTTTTTCCTGAGTTCTTTCTCCATATTTTAGGTAAATCGAATTTTCTCTGCTTTTTAATTGAAAACCACAGTTGAAAACCAGAGTTCATAACAGAGATGTCAGACAAGATGTGAATGTTTTTTTGGGCCCAAATGAAAGAGTGAGGCTCGAAATGGCGTGCGAATGTCTCTAAAGATGATATTCTAACCAGGGGAGACTCCTAGACCCCACTGGACAATGTTGGCACAACTCTGGTTTTCAACTCTGAAACCAGAGTTCAAAACCAAAGTTCATAACAGAGATGTCAGATAAGATGTGAGTGAGAATCTACCGTGGATCCACGGTAAAATTTACCGTGGAGCGTGCGAATAGACACTGCTTGCTTATAAAGCGAAAGAGATTGACATATAAAATCCTCAATGATCGTATTCTACATTTTGATTTTAAAGAGTGTGAGATTCGTAATAAACCCTCAGTCATAGAGAAGAAACAGGTGGACAGCCATAAACTGACTCTGTCTGCCTCTGAATGTCTTTGTCTAGCTAGGTACCTTGGGCTAATGATTGGGGATCTCGTTAAAGAGGAAGATGAAGATGTTTAGAGCCTTTGGAAAACAATGCGAGAGATGATAGATATTTTAACCGCTCCTTCAATAAATATGGAAATGGAAGTCATCTTCAAAGAATTGGTAAAGAAGTTCCATGGAACATTCCGTAAGTTATATCGCGAATTGATCCCAAAGATGCATAATTTCCTCTATTTCTGGCGTGCAATCGAGAACGTTGGACCCCTCTCTGCTCTTCAATGTTACCGGTAAGAATCGAAACATAGAATTTATAAACAGCGCGCTAGAGAATCGGAAAATCGGCGCAACCTCCCACCGACGTTTGCAAAAAAGTCAGAATTTGAACTTAACATTCGTTTTATCAAGGACAAAGGATTCCAACTTCAGATTGATATGTCGAGCAAAAGTCGAACTATACCAGTGCGATCAATGAGCAATTATACTGAATTTCACGCTTCTCTTCCTCCTGGTATTGAACAAATAACAGAAACCGATTGGGTACAGGTAAAAGGCACGAAATATCTTCTAGGGATGGTTAGGTAGTTGTGCAACTGGGCAGTGAATATCCTGTTTTCGGCCAAATTAAATCTATTGTGCTCACGGACCCATTGGAAGTATGGCTTATTTTTAAACAATTGCGCACCTTGCAATTCAATTCTCATTACCATGCCTATAAGATTAGAAAATCTTCCGTATTAGGTATAGTGAAACAGAGAGATCTCATAACTCCCCTCCCCACACATTCTCGCACTGCACATGATGGAGATAGCTATTTTAGTTTTCGTCACTCATTGTAAATAAATTCTAGTTTCTTCTTATGGTATAATAGTATTATTTCTCTTCTTTCCTTCCCTTTTCCCTTCTCCTTCCAAGTTACTAATTTGAGGTACGAAATCATCCAAAGAATGAATCAACTTCAAAACTTATCTAAAATACAATTTGAAAGTTATATACTGGAATCCCGAATAATATACCGGATTTCGGTATATCATATTCCGGAATCCGGAATAATATGCCGGAATCGGGTATATAGTATACCGGAATCCGAGATATATCCCGGATTTCGGGATATCGTATCCCTGATTTCGGAATACTATTCCGGATTCCGAAATATTATTCCAGATTCTGGGATATCATATATCGGAATCTGGCATATGATATTCCGGATTCTGGAATATTATTCCGGGTTCCGGGATATAATATCCTAGATTCCGCAATACACATATTCCGGATTCCGGAATATAATATACCTAATTCGAGGATATTTTTTTTCCGTGTCTCCAAACATAACCCCGCGTGATAGAATGGCAGCTGATGTTGGGGAATTGTTGGTGGACTCGAGAATAATCACAGACCAAAAATTACGATTTTTCGATGGGAAAAGTGAAAAAAAATCGATGTATATTTTCATTACTTAAAAAAAGTGGTGTGGCCCCCCTTAAAGTAGCTCTACCCTTACGGTAAATTCAAAGATTATTGAAAACGGCAAAAAAATTGCAGAAAACTCGATTAGATTCGTAATTTTAATTTTTCTCTGAATTTAATTATCGTTTTGGTTTTTGAAAGAAGAAATGTGTAAAAATCAGGACTTAACCCACTTCTTATGTGAAAATCAACATTTCCATTGTAATCAAAGATTAAAATTAGAATTTTTTTGCATTAGATGTGAAAAAATCAAGAATTTTTTTGACACCTCATAAAAAATAATCCATCGTTTTGCAAACAAGTTTTATTATTTCTTTATAAGAGGGAAATGTTTGAAAAAATATCAATATTCTGTGAAATTTAATTTAGATAATACTGACTGGGTATGAATTTTTCCAAACTTTTTCCATGCAATTTAATTGAAAAATTTAAAACCTGAAAATATCCAAAAGTACAGCGCAGCCCGGCCGAAGGGTAGAGCTACTTTAAGGTCATTAGACCCTCATGATCACTTCGTTCGTCCCTCCCATTTGACCCTTAACACCGTTTGATGCTTATAACTATCCTCTTCCCGTTGAAAAATGACCGGGGCCATAGGTATCTGATAAAAAGCCCACGGAACATAAACATTCGGGAGGCGATAAAAGTACCGAGAGTGGGGGTAGGCCTCGAACGCGAGGTATCTTATAGACAGGTGGCTTTCGTATCTTATACGAAGCCTCTACTGTAAATTTCCGAGTAAAAATACCTCTTTCATCAACAAAAAACTACTCTTGAAAAATTTCGTTCAACTGTTTCCTTCCACAAATATCCCGATCGAAATTCGGCAATATATACTACAAGAAAAAGGAATCATTTCTATAAATCGTCCCTACATTCATCAAAACTCCAAAATTTATCGCCTCAAAGGAGAATTGAAGCTAATTCAATTTAATGAAAGAATGAGATTTTATTTAAATATTCAGTCGTTCCTAGTGATTTGGAAAACTAAATCATTATTTGTGGCCATCAGCGTGAAAAGGGCCCACATTGTCGATATGGAGTTAAGGATTCTCCGATAATATTGATACACAGAGAGAAAAATTCAATGAAAATTACCAGAAAAAAAACGTAAAAATTGCGTTTCGAAACGTAATCCACGAGCGAAGTAAAATTCAATAAAAAGTGTGAGTCGGAACTGAAATTGTACGAATTGCCACGTAAATTCTACGATTTCTTCCGTAAAAATTAACCAACCGTCTGATGACTCACCGCTGTGGGGACAACAACTCGTTCCGTAATTTTTTCCCAACGATTGAGAAATTTTACGGAACGGAACGTAGAAATAACTCACCAGCTTCATAAAAATTATTGAACGTTTTAGAATTTTTTATTTTTGAGGCACAATAAGTCGGCAAGTTTCTGTAAGATTTTACTTCTTCGGAAAAAATTACGTAACAATTTCGTACTTTGTTCGGTAATGAACCTGAAAATTCACTGAACGTTTCAGATTTCTTCTCTTCCATTCCTATAAAAATTGCCGGAAAACGATTCTCCCTTGCGGATTACGTGAATTGTTCCGTAATTTTTACTGAATATTCCTCTCCGTGTACCATTCTGCGCATTTTGAGCCCAAAATGATCCTAATAGCGTGAAAAGTGACGTCGCCAGAGAAAATCAAAAAAAATATTCAACATTGGTTTCAATGGGAGTTGCGGAGACAAAAACGTAAACATCTCCGAAACTAGAATCGACAAAGCGGGCCCTTTTCATGCGGTCGTCCATATTTTGTTCTCTATCAAAATGATTTTTTGGGGTTCGAAAAATAATCTAACACAAAAAAAATCTTGACAACTTTCACGCACGAAAAAATTTAATGGAAAATCTAGCAAATTCGTTAGAAAATTCTATTGGTTTTCTATTGAACTTTCTATTCGTTTTTGATCGATTCTATTGAAATGTTCAACTGAAAATATTCAACAGAAAAAGTCAATAGAATTCGACTTTTCTACATAACTTATTCTATTGAGATATTTTTCATAGAATTTCATCGGCTCAAATTTTCTAATTTTTTTTCATTCTATTTTTCTTTTCTTATCATCATGAAAATCAAACAAAAAGACTTAGAAAATTTGAGCCAAGAAAATTGTATAGAAAATATGTGAATAGCATAATTTGTATAGAAAAATCGAATTCTATTGACTTTTCCTATTGAATATCTTCTATTGAAAATTTCAATAGAATCGGCCAAAAAAACTAATAGAAAGTTCAATAGAAATCCAATAGAATTTTCTAACGAATTCACTACGTTATACCATTAAATGTTTTCATTCGTGTTAGCTAAAGCTCTCTCTTCGGAATACATGTGCTATTTGAAAGAAGAAGAATTTATCCAGATACATGAAAAAATTTCATAAAAATGATCTCGCACATATTTTGAAATTTCCGAATAAGAAAATCCGAGTGAAAAAATTAAACAGATCTTGATAAAAAAATGAAAATACCTGTTTCATCTATAAAAAAAACTCTTGAAAAATTTCGTTCAATTTATTTTTTCCAAAAATATTCCGCCGTTAAGTGCAAGGAAGAGAAATCATTTCTATAAATAGCCCCACATTAATCAAATCTATTTTATAGACTCGATATCAACGCTCCGACCGATATCAGAAGACAATTAAAGCTACCCGTAACCTGTCTAAGTCTCTACACGGAAAGAATATAAAAGTATTTTTTACTATGGGAACATAGGAATTTCTAATATGAGAAATTAGACGCAGGACCATACTCGCCGAACATTAGAATTTACTATTTAACATAGTAGTTTTGAGGACAAATGAAAAATAACGCCGTGGCGGATGAAACAATACTGGTGACGGAATTAGAATATGATGAAGTCCATAAGAAAAATTACTGTGGAACATAGTAAAAACTAGGAGTCGGTATAGTAGAAAGTGTTGAGTCGTGAGCAATAATGCCATGAAACAGTCGAATTTATTTATTTCCTTATTTTTAATAATATCGAATGCAGCAGCTTATTTCACGATTTCCCAAATCCACAAAATAATTTGTCTCCTCTTGGGTCGTTTTCCACCAACCATTCCCAACCTTTATTGCTTTGCGTATTTCCTTGCCAATTGTCCCTTAAAATTCATGTCTCGCGTAGTTCCCCGCCAATTGTTCCTCAACCTTCATTTCTTCGCGTAGTTCCCCAGCAATTGTTCCTCTATATTCATTTAATCACTTCGAGTTTGCACCGGACCTCATAAACGACCCATAATATTCGAGTATTGCTAATCCCGTGCAATAAGCTAATCCCTAGTCCCAACAGTTTGTCGCCAGCACCCCAGAGAGTCGTGACCTACGTCGACACTTCTGAGTCCCAACTTCCCCTTCTCCTCCATCCTAACGTGTCCAAAAATCTATAGCGCCGAACCAATCACAGCGCTTCCCGCTCAGCGATCTCCTTCCCTTCAATTTTCGTCCAATCCTAGCTCTCTCAACCCGTGATCCCTTCCACCGCCCAACGACCAATCATAGAGAACCTCCAAATTTTATCCAAGTCCCACGCACATAAAAGCTGCAACTTCCCAATTTTCCAGACAGTTACAGTTCCGACTTCAAACTAAAATACAGTCCGCTAAATATTCGTGTCTACTGTACAATCCGGTATAATTATTCAGAATATATTATTGTTATTAAAAAAGACAATCTCAAGTGTTTAAATTATTTTCATCTTTTTTCCACTCAACATCCAAACAAGGCAGACCGCGGCGTTTGGAAGTATCATCCGACGATACATGATAGTGATAGCTCAAAAGGTGAAATTTCATTTCTCACTAGTAACATTTATGAGAATAAACATGATTTTCTACTTTCGTGATGAAAACAAATTCCTCCTTCCCCTCTTTCAACACGAATATTGGTAGAAGAGAAAAAGGGAGAGCGTTTTTTTCAAGCACCACACAGAGAAAAAAAGTTGATTAACTGTAGATAAAAGTTGCTAGATGTTGGAAACCTCATAACAATTGCCTATGGAAACGGGAGGATTTTCATTTTTTTCCGGCACGTTTACGTAGGGCACTCACTCACTCACTCACCAC